TAATGATAATAATAAATATAAATAATAACCTTTAGCGTCCTGCTTCGCCACCTGCAAGCCCTGCGGCCGCCCGCCCGGACCCTTTCGAGGGACGCCGGAGAGCGCATTTCCGCCGCGGGTCAGGGTGGCGAAGGAGGCTGCACATATCCTATGCAGAAGACTCTACCCCACTTACCTCAAGCTCTCAATGACAGGTCTTTATGATCTGCCTAGTTTTTCACATTTCAATTTGATTTAATAATAACTTAGTGACCACTATTATACACTAGTAATGCCAAACCAAACCGATTTTATCCCACCCTAGCCTGATTTAACCGAACTCTACGTAACCGGTTCCCTAGTTTAGAGTACGTTTGTCTGTCTTGGAGAAAAGTTTCCTAATTAAGTGCTTAATCGATTGTTCTTAGTTTCGTGAATCCTGTTATACCGAAAACTGACCATTATTTCACCCAACAGGTGTTCCTGTGCCCCTTACCTGCAAGTGCCCATCACCTTGAGGTATATGGCCACTGGCATTCACCAGCTGACAGTTCCAGACTGCCACAGCGTTCCACAAAGTCATATAAGCAGATGTAGCAGCCGTGTGACACGAGTCGTTGCCAGGATGAGCCGTGACACCATAAAGATGCCTGGGGCAAATGAAACACTCAGAGTGATGGGGATTTCATGGCAATTGCTAGAATGCCTGTTGTTGTTGGCTGCATTGCCTGCTCCCACAGAACCATCAAAAAGCCACCTGGGGACCGATCTGAAATCTTCTGAAACAGGAAAGGAGTATTTTCCCTAAATATACAGGCAGTTTGAGGGCCATAACTAGGTCTTTTTAGTAGTGTTGCTCGATGGCCAGACAGCGCTCACAACGGCAATATTTTCGCTAACAGCCGCCTGTGTGTAGGAATGGAGGATGGAATCCATCGAGGTCCACCAGCAATCCTCAATCCCATCAAGAGCAACGCTGCAACAGTTCACACACTGCCACCAGAAATTGCATCGAACGGGCTTTCGGTGTCCTCAAGAGATTTTGTTGTTTGGGCAAGAAAACGCAAACAAGTCTGGAAAACACAAAGGTTACTCTCGCCGCCGCAGCCAAGCTCCACAACCTCGCTGTCAGACAGAGGAAGCCACTGCCCGATGATGCGCCATTCCAGCCAGAAGCAGGAGCCCCTGACGACCCAAATCCTCTCCCTGATAACCATGCCGGTGCCCCTTAATGCACAGGGCGGTGTAGGACGTCGCCAGGTTATCCAAAATTACTCTTGAGCCTTGTATTTCTCATGTATTGTATGGAGGTACAAAAAATATCATCTAGTTTTATTGAAGATTGCCCTGAAAGCCAAATGGGTGTTTATCAACGAATACTATTATCACATTGTCAAAATGAAGAAAATAAGGAAAAAATACTATACATTCAGGAAGCCTCAGTCGTTAACTGAATCTACTTATACATTGCATTACTGGAATGAAATATTTTACAAGCCTTAATATATGTTCCTAATGTTGCTATGCAAAATATAAACAAACGAAAATCAAATACACATAAACCTCACTTCATTTATTTTGTTTTGAGTAATTCACATTCTATTTCAATGTTTTAACCTTTAAGTCACATTCAACTTTCTTGACTTTTAAGTCATTTCTAAAATGTTCTGCATTTATTCATTTTTTAAGTCAATTTCTAACCACTTCATTTCCATTTCCCTAATTTTCATATTTATTTCATGTTCCTTCGACTCATGGTATGACGCTTCTTGAACACTGAGCTTTGTTCCTCGTTTATTTTTCCTCCTGAGCAGCGAAGATTGTTCAGAAGAGAACCGCAGTGGTGCGGTAGTGGGTTCTGATGAACAAAACGCTGGTGGTGTTTGTGATCCTTTGGTACATCTGGCAGCCACTTCGATGAGAACATTGAGTAAATAGTGTCCGGGGTTTGGTATAAATCTTTATGATTTTCTTAGATGTTCACCCCTTTGTTCTTTTATGATCCTTTAGGTTTGGGTTAATCGAGGTTTGAATAAGATATACATAACAGTTTGTTCACTGTATTATTCAAAATATATATACACAAATACACAATACACAAAACGAAAGATAAATTGTTCAGAAGAATAAGATGCCTTATTCAGTAAATACAGAAAAGAAATGTACAAAGACACTTTGATTAATAATTTCCCAATAATGTGGATTGCAGGTCGGGCACTCAGTATGGGCCAGCGCCCACGAACAAATGCGAACTGTAGGATTTGGGGGGGGCGTCTGGTATGGGATTACACCCCACGACCTGAGGCATAGGTGACCTGATTGGAGAGTTTTGGGCTGCTCAAGTTGAAATCAAAGTTAATTTCACTTAATGCACTTATTTCACTTATCACATACCCTTTTCGATGGATAAACAGTGTAAAAAGAATTCAAATAACTACATATGAACAGTTGAAACATAGCAAATAAAACCGTAATTTACTTACATGAAGTGAATGGGTGAAGAGATCGGAGCCAAGTGGCAGGTCGTGCTATCGTGGTCGCCGACGTCACTTTTGTTTCGGGTTCGTGAACCGTCGACGAGGATACGCAAATGGCTCGACCACCCGAATCCTCACACACACCACACACACAATCACTCATTAACACAGGGAAACCATCACCAACCCTTTACAAAAGCCCCCTATTTCGACTTAAATCTCGTCGATTTAAGAACAAGGTGGGGTTTCACTTTCTTCTAATGAACAACGACTCAATATATCTGCTCCTACATTTTCACTACCTTTAATATATTCTATATCAAACGAGTACGACTGCAATGCTAAAGACCAACGCATGAGTCGACCATTACCATTTTTCATGTTACGCAGATATACAAGTGGCTGTTGGTCTGTTTGGAGCACAAATTCACGTCCGTACAGATAGTATTTGAATTTGTTAATTGCCCAGACGATACTTAAACATTCACGCTCAATAACAGCGTATCTTTTCTCGCGGTCTGTAAGAGCTCGGCTGGCATATGCAACTGGCATTAGTATGCCTTCAGATTTCTGTAGGAGAATCGCGCCTAACCCAGTGTCGGACGCATCAGTTCTTACGTAAAAGATCTTTTCAAAATTTGGTAAAACTAGAATAGGCGTATTAGCTAGCCTGTATTTAAGAATGTTAATCCTTGAGATTTGCTCTTCATTCCATTCAAGTTTATTACTTCGGAATTTCTTCAGGAGATCATTAACAGGAGAGATTATATCAGCTAAATTCGGGATGAATTTGCGGTAAAAAGAAACTGTGCCTAAGAAAGATCGTAATTGTTTCTTCGTGCGGGGGAGAGGTAAATCGAGAATTGCTTTTACTTTGTCTTCAAGAGGGGTCAAGCAATTATTTCCTAGATGAAATCCAAGGTATTTAATCTTATCATATCCAAAGAAACATTTACTTGGTCCTGCTGTTAAACCATATTTACGCAATCTTTCAAATAGACATTCGAGATCTAGCAAGTGATCAGACCAGGAATTACTATGAACTACTATATTGTCAAAATAGCAATCTATATTGTTCAGGCCATGCAATACGCACGAACGTTGCACAGGCGGTTTTTAAGCCAAATGGTAATCTAGTGAATTGCATCAACCCTCGGTTGGTAGCAAAAGCAGTGTAAGCTTTAGCACGTTCTGACAGCGGTATCTGCCAGTAGCCTTTGCAGAGATCGATTTCCGAGAAT